TTATCAAGGGGTATTACTTGGCTGAAATGTTAAATGTAAAATAGTCAAATGCTTAGTTATAATTAAGATATAGGTAGGTTAATTATTTTATTATTATATCAGTAGAAAATAGTTTAGTTCATTTCATAGCCTTGATAATTAGGTTAAAAATTAGGGAACTTTTATTTCATTTACTCGACTAGGTTAGAAATTAATAAATAGGAATAGAAAGCATATCAGGTAATTAGAAAAGGGAAAGGTTTTCAATTAAAAGGGAAAACATTAAATGTTCAATAATTAATTTGACCACATATAACTAGCGAACTCTGTTGGAGAGCCATCAAACTGGATCACAGAGTGGAGCACTTTAGATGGAAAAGGTTGAATAAACGAGAACCAATGGGAGCACGAAAAGAAACCAAAGGGTACTTTCAGCAAATCGCTGAAAGCTAAGAGGGTTGGAGATCCTCGACTTTGTCGATTCTCGCAAGCCCGGTACTAAGGGGTAGCCAATGGGCTTCTAAAGTGGTACCCGGAGGGTGGTCGCTTATTTGAGCAGATGTTGAGGTCAGTTAACTTCAGTTATCGCCAATTCGCCACTAGTTTTTACTACGAGCTATCGCCGGATATTTAGGTCGCAAAGTCTCAACGAGTTCTCGATCCGTTTCTCATCCTCTAGTTCATCTGCCGCCCGGTGTTTTAGTAAAAGCTCTCCAAAGAGGTGATAGTTATTTTTTTTAAATTTCAATTCCAATAAAGTGTCAGATTTTAAACCAAACCTTTTAATTGGGAAATTACTCTTTTCTTTCAATTGTCTTTAATTTTTCTTCAGTTAGAAATTGTTTATGGTCTATTAATTGAATAAGGTATTTGATTAGATTTTGTTTTTTTATTTTACTCTACCTTTTTTCTAATCACTAAATAATTAACGCTAACTTTTCTTTTCACTAATAAATAAATTAGTTTTAATCTTCCAAAATTAGTCTTTTCTTTTCTGGTTTCAAAATTGCCTTTAAAACACTGGTTGTGGCATAGAAAGATCGTACGTGCCGGTTTGTGCGGTTGAAGAATGTGTTTCCTGCTTCAGCAGGAAAGTGGTAAGTGGTACTAGTTTTGAGTCTGTAATAACACCTTTCAATAACCACCCGAAGAAGAGAAGACAGATTTCGCTCAGATTGCCTCCGGTTCAGAAAACTGTTCTTTACTGCGTCAGATCAAATTTACTTTTCCGCATTATTCATGCTACCAAAATATCAATTCTTACATAACATCTCAATTTTGTCACACCAGCATGAAAAGTTTCGTACATATATGACGTAAATCTTCCTAAGTTATATGCATTTATTCTCTTCCATGACTCTTTTTATCATTTGCTTTGTTGTTTCCTCATGTCTTTTTTGATAGTTGTTATTATTTAATAAATTTGTCTGTACAACTAGTTGAATTCAACAGCACCAGGGCCTTCTTTCAGGCTACTAAGATGGTATACGGACCAACCACTCATGGACTTAATCCGTTACGATCCAAAGACTACTAAAAGACATTTCTTCTGTTAATTCTCGTCGGAAGGAACACTTTCAGAAACTAGTTAACAGAGAATCACAAATTATCTTCAAGGAAATTCCACAGAAACCAAAACAAGAACTGAGCAAGATTCTCAGATTACAGTGGGTTGAAAAGGCAATCAGACAACTAAAGAATAGAGAATAAAATCGTCCTCTTTCCATGATTTAGTGAAAGCATGTGATTCGGTTAACAGAGAAGATTGGGCAAAGGTTGAGAGTCCGAAAAAGTATATCCAGATACACCGCCCGCTGCAAGATAATATGAATGCAACCGCCCTAAGCAACGATGGACAAGGAGAATCTTTCCAAATAGTTACAGGCTATGTTATCGCACCTACTTTTTTTTTATAGGATCCATACTACACCTTGTAGAGGGTCATTTGTCGTCAGGAGTGGAAATCCTGTACAAACTTGATGGCGACTTATTCAACCTAAACAGATTACGAGCCAAGACGAAAGTATCGGGGACATCGATAATAATTGAGCTTCAATATTCGGATGATAACGTCGTGACAGCCAATACAGAGAAGGATCTTCAGGCAATTATCAATGCATTCAACCAGGCATACAGGAGAATCGGCCTAGAGGTCAACTTTAGCAAGCGGCAGATTTTGCACCAATCCGCACCGGATACTAATCCCTAAGCACCAAATATAACCATAATAATATGGCGGTTCTTTGCAGAACATATAATACTACCCATACCTTGGAAGCCATCTATCAGTAGTTATTGACGCTAAAATCCAACATTGCTTCAAGTGTGCTAACGCAGCGTTTGGGCGACTTCTAGAGAAAGTCTCCAATAATCACATCACTGAGACCAAACTCCCCGTCCACAATGCATTTATAATACCAACACTTCCATATGGCTGTGAAACCTACAGAAGTCACACATAAAGACTGGAAAAATACCTCCACCGGTGCCTAAGATAGATCCTACAGATTCGAAGAGGCCAAAACAACTAGCATGGAAGCCCTCATCATTAAGCACCAACTTCGCTGGACGCTGGACAGGTCACCTCGTCCGCTGAACTGAAATAGGGAGATCGAAATCAAGTCGGTCAACAAAAATGCTACGTTCTGAGGTAATAGTATATTACAATCCGAGACGGGAAATGCTTCATTACTGGTCGAGAGGTTTTATAGTTTATCGAGACGCGTAGCGTCGAGATAAACTGAACTTCGAGACAGCAATGAAGTTTCCCGTCGAGGGTTGTATACTATTTTATTTTTAACCATAATTTCTTGAAAAAAAATAAATTCGGGGCAACCAAATGAGGTCGGCAAATGAAGAGGAAAATGAGAACGGGAAATATTTCCCTGCTCCATTTTCCGTCCGTGGACGGGAAATGAGGACGGAAAAAATTTCCCGTCCTCACTTCCCGTCCTGGGACAGGTAATGGAGCAGGAAAATGAAAAGACAGAAATGTGAAATTTTCAAATTTTTGAAAAGTCAGTAATGACAACATTTCATATATGGTTAAAAATAAAATATAGTAAAGGGCCACATCGATACCAGCAACTGGGAGACGACGACTAATGGCGTCGAGAAGTCCACGACGGACCACATACTTTTGAAGAACATCGACGCGAGACCGAAAAGAGGGACTGCAGGAAGGAGCGAGAGAACAGAGGGAGAGACAATGATGCTAGAGACTGGGTGTACCAGGAATGTGGAACAGTCTACGGCTCCAGAATTAGTTTATATTGTCATATCTAGGATAATAGGACCTCAGTTAATTAAACCCAATCGTCTTCCGCGAAAGGTTCATGGGTTTCAGGAAAATCATTGCTCACGTCATGTTTAAATAACATTTGGTTGCAAGTTGAACGAATTATTAAATTATATGAGGAATCTGAACCCATGGATGGTCAATGTCAACGGCAGTTCACCAGTAATTGTTATTCTCAGCGATCACGCACCATGGTCGCGGTATTAATATAAAATAATGGTTTTCGGAAGATGAGGGGGTAGTCTACAGACCGAGAATCAACCGCGTTAGCTAGTCAGTAATAATAGTTCCTTTTAGTCCTGTGATAATTATTAGTGCCCATGCCTATATTATGTGAAATGTATTTGTGGTAAGCTTTATTTTAAATACACTTTCCTATTTGTACTTGGCTCGCACAATCGACGCACAATCGACGACAATAAGAATAGAATAGAAGATAATAATATTTGGTATCGATCGCCTATGATGATGATGATGATTGAAAATGTAGATGATTTAATTGTTTGATCCACATGTCTAGACCAATTTGGATTCTAGAATAAATTCTCAAATGCCCTGGAGCCCGATTCCCGTCTCAGGAAGTAGAGCTCCCCAAGAGAATAAATTTTTCGTCTTTATCATTCTCGTTTACTTTTCCATTATGGTTGACAACATACTGTATCTGTAACAGTTACAAGTTTTACATCAAAATCAAAATCTTGTTAAATTCAGAATATAGAAATATATTTCAATAATTTCTATTTTTACTTTTATTGACCAGGAGACATGATTTATTCGACAAGCTAGTTCTGTCATTATGTCTCTCTTCTGAAAATTTTCTTGGAGAATATACCCATTTAAATAAATATCTAGATAAATTTGGAAAACTAGAAGGTTTGAGTAAAATTTTTATTAGAATTATATGGAAAATTAATATTATAAACTATATTATTGGTACGAAATATTAAAAAGAAGACCAGTTATTTTGATGAACAAATTGGTATAGATAATTGTTGTCCTCTCCGATGCAAAATCATCCGACTTTATCATACATTAAGTGGATCTTAAGTGTAATTATTTGTTATAGAATCAATTTGCTCCAAGTAATAAAGCTTTTTTCAAAAAAAAAAAAAACATTGATGGAAACGTTTTCCAATAAATCACCGAGTTTATAAAATTTATAGAGTCCAGAAAAAAAAAAAAACTAAATTAATTCTAGCACAAAAGCGATAAATTCAATAGTTGTTTTTTTTTTGTCACCGAAATGAAAATAGTATAAAACGAGAAGTGTTTTATATTGGGTATATATGAAAGTAATAAATGGAACAAAAATATACTTGCATCAAGTTTGGATTTATTGTCCAATATTTAATCCTGGAATCGGAAAGGATTTTAAAAGCTGACGGATTATAGTCGCTTAAATCATACAAATGTTACAAGTAATTATTAAATTATTATTCTAATAAAAGATGCGGTTACATTCTATGGAGAATTTATATTCTGGACTGAAAATCCATTGATTTTAATTTTTAAATACTGTCCAACATTTTGCAAATTAGGTAATTAATTAATGGATATGCGCTTTCCATTACCGAAATTAATTCCCAGCTTATATTAATCTTTATAGTTTCATTTTCAAATACAAATTTTTAGCGCCTTTGTGGCCCGAGCTTTTGTGTGTTGTAAATGCTTTAAAGTAATTATTCAAGACAGTGATTTCATAATTACAAAAAACAATTCCTACCTGAAAGTTAGAACAGTCAAAGGCCTATAACTTTTATGGCTATTCTCATCAGCCATTGGTGTACCCCAAAAGTCATTTTTGAAAACACTTTCCACATGATTCACTGCCAACACGTCTTTGTTCAATGTCACTGCAGGAATATCATCGTGCACAAAATCACCGTCGATACCGTTCAAGTAGCAGGTTACAGCCAAAGTACCAACTAAGCTGTATATTGGCCAGGTGGATGGCGATTTTGCTACATAGTACCCTGTCGCATGCTGATGTGATGAGTTGTGTTTTCTCTTCATTGTTCATTTTAGGTGCTGAAAATTAAAAATAATTTCCCTTAATTGAGCAAAGGTTTCTGTAATGAAGCTGGCAAGCGACCTCAAACGGTTTACCTCTAATTACATACTCATTAGTTGAAGTGTTTATTTAATGAGAAATCCTAATGATGGCCCTTTGACGAATTAAAAATTAAAGTAAACGATTAAAAAAAAATATATATTAAAATATTATGCGGTAGGTATACAGTAAACCTACTAACGGATTTTGAAATTGCTGCGTTTAAGCAGTCAAAGGACTAAAGCTTCAAAAGAAAAAACTACTAGAGTTCAAGATGCATTTTGAATTGATTTCAATTTTTTGCCAGGAAAAAAAATCAAGAAAACCAAAGGATCAAAGAGAAATATTTTAATTTAAACATATAAGAATATAATCAAAAAGTCGTTTTACATTAACTAGAAGAACATTTTTCCAGAGCTAACGAATAACATGACGAAATAACAAGCTATTGCGAAGCTTCCCTTTCTATATTTCTATGAAAACTTTATAAACGATATAGAAATAATAATTTTTGAAAAATTGTCGCAAAGAAGAGTCTTGGTATCGTTCTTAAGGTTTGAGCTTTTATTTGAGTTTGCAAACAACAAAAGTAATATCGTAAGAGCAGATGGGTACTAGCAATTATTAGATTCTTAAAATGAATCGAGTTATTTTATTCTTTTAATCAGTTTGCATACACATAGAAGAAAGTTATTTGAAAATTGAAGTTAGATGTTGATACACGATAATTCTTACATAACAACAGAATGTGTGATATGCATTTATTTGTAGATGGGTCAGCATGTATTGCTTTGTTACTGGATAGTTATCGCGAAAAATTATTAAAATAAAAACCATATTATTATGTCAATACTAACCTCCAAAACCGCCCCAAAAATCATAGTCAATCAAAATTTGCTCGAAAATCGCCACAGTTCTTATCGCAAAACTATTCAAATCTCAAATTATCAGACATGATAAACAATGGATTACGCACTCGCGTAAATTACACACAAGGGCGGAATATTGGAACGTTGCTGAAAAGACAGGCTTCCTACGAGAGCCCTTCGCGCACTGGCTTGTTCTCCTGTAGGTTATCCCTTTTTATATTGCCTTCGAAGAAGAGGGGATTGATCAACAAAAAAGAAAGGGCGATGAAGAGGTTTTGTTTTGATGTGATATTTATTTTTGGGGCCAACAATCACAGACAATAATTGACCTAATTTCATGTATATCATCAAAAAGATAATTAATAAATAGGCTGTACATAGGCAGTGTTATGTTCTTTTAACAAAACCCTAATAATACTGGTTTAATAAAAATATATAGAAGCGGAAAGAGATGTTAAATAGACAGGGGTAACTAGGGGTGGATGAGTTATCTATGTGGGGGGTGGCAGTCCAAAAAAACAGAAAGGGTACCTCCGTTTTCAGGGCGGCCGACCAGCTCTCACTGCGGAGAGGGGTGTGAGTAACTAAAATCAGAAATGAGCGCCACCTGCTTTAGTGCCCTAATTTAAACGGAGTCCCTGATGATCCAAGAACAGGAAATCTCTGATGCCAAATAATACGGCACCGACCTAAAACTTTCAATAGGAAATAACAAAATAATAGCCTGAAATTCAAAAAACTCTTATTATTCAATTCAATATTTAATGAACAGTAGACCGCCCCTGATAAGGGGATACGTCAATATTTATCTTTCAATAATTTAAATAAAAATAATCACTGGCCCAAATCAGGCAATAATGTAAATGAAGCCAGAAAAACTAAATATCTACCTACCCAGAAATACGAAAAACAGTATTAAAGTTCCCAAACCTTACCTTACATTCTGGTTCATTGTGGTGATTAAAAATTATAATTAATTTCCTAATTACATTCATTGAGTTCAAATAAGTCAAGGGTGATAACTAAGTACAGTTCACGCCCCTTAAATCAATACCGAAATACTCAAAATACCGTCGTAAATAGATCTATTTAAACCTAGTGTACAGATCCACTAATTGCGGATTGTGAGTGTTAGACGTGTGCTTACACTAATTTGGACTACTTGGAATGTTCCAGGAAATCAAAATAATATGGTAAGTAAACGTAAAATTAACTTCATTTAAGCCTGAAGGATGATATGGTAATTTTCAAGACAGGTAGTGGTAACTCAACTGGCTATAATCTTGAAGGGTACAAGTGGTTGCAGGTGAGAGGCTCCAGCTCCCAAGGAGATGGTGGAACCCTTAATACAGACGGGGTGGTTGGTTCCCAAAACGGCACAACAATACGCTAACCTGAGTATATAGTTATTTGATAGAGTGGTACTACTAGGAACCTCTTGGGGGAGATTGAGATTCACAGGCCCCAAAAGTTCCACAAGCAATTTATCAAGTCCAGGATTGAGCACATTGAGCACATTCAGCAATCAGGTGCCTTTGTGCATCTAACGACGGCAACAGCAGAAAGGGATGTAACGTTACCAATATAAAAGGCCTAAAGGAGGGAGTTCACATTTTAAAAACTCGATTTCAACAAGAATTGAGGTAAGTACTGCAATCAATTACGTTTTTGGGGACATAAAACTCTAACAGGGATCAGAATACAAAATAAAATGATGAATAATAGGGACTTACCAATGTGGATTGGCCTTTTCGACACTCAACACATTACACGAACCAAACTTATTTTCCAGAATTTGGGTTTTTACGTACTAAAATCTTGTTAAATTTACAAATATTTGCTGTGGTGTTATATAAGAATAATAGCCACCGTTTAAGACTCAATTACTTTCCAAATATTCACTCAAATTGGCCAAAATGCCTCAGAAGAAAGCTATAATGTGGTTTCTCTTCTGTGTGATTCTAAAACAAAAAAAATTCCACCAACAGTAGAATTTCTGGTTACACGAACCGGATTCTAGGGAATTTTTCGTTTATTTTTCTACAGTTCAAATTAATGCATATTGCGCAGTCAATAGTTTTGGTGCCACAGTTCACTTTAGTTCCTTGTCTGATTTAAACAATTTCCTAACCCTACAAATATTTGTTTACATTTTCCTATTCTAACCCTATCTAAATTGTCTTATTACTTTAAGCTAGAAACCTGATATTTTCAAAGTTGCACAATGGAAACCTCTGCAAAATTAGGGAAAACAAATGCTGGTTTACCTGATTCCTACAGAACAAAACACAGAACAGAGAACACAATAGTAAAAACTCAAAAAAATGGTAAATATTTTGCTCTATACGATCCTATCTTGTCTCAAATCAATCTTATTTTCAGAGATCGCCAGAAGAATGGAATTTTAAATGGAATGGAATTTTAAAATAGTCACCAGAAGCCCAAAATATCCACGTTCCTTGTAGAAAAGGGAGTGGGAATGGGCAAAAGTATTGTAAAAAAGGCAATAAAAGAGAAAGAGGAAGTTGAGTATGCTTTGTTGCAATATAGAAACTCCCCTCTTAAAAATATGAGCTATTCCCCGTCCCAACTTCTCATGAATAAAATTTGTAAAACAAAAATTCCTATAAGTTCTAATTTGTTAAAACCCCGTTTGTGTGAAAATGTAGCTCAAAAGTTAGAAAATAAGCATATACTATCTCTAGTATGATAGAAATTCTAAAGATTTGGTGCCTTTAAAGCCTGACAATGATGTAACTATTTATAATCATGTTGAGAAGAAGTGGGAACCAGGATTGCTAATCAAGCAACATGATTCGCCTCGGTCTTATTTATTTCAGAACCAATTTGGTCACATCCTAAGACGTAATCGTGTTGATCTGAGACCTCTCCAAATAAATATATACCCTCTTCTTCTAACAGGTTTGACATCTCGGATATGACAGAACACGGCAGTGTTTGTCCTAGAATTAGTCTAGAAAATAAGCATGTAGACCTTGATGTACCTAATGTAAAACCGGCTTCTGACCCTAGATCCGAGCTTCAAATAACTAGATCTGGTAGGGTTATAAAGCCTCCTGAAACATTTAATTTATGAGGGAGGATGTGATGGTAGTAATACAGGTACTGTCGACAACACCAGTGACGGTAGTTGTCAGTTGACAAGTTCTGTTGTCTAACTGCCCCTTGCATGTTGCATGGGTCTTAATAAAACAGCACGAGTTAAACATACTAATAGTTATTTTATTTATATCCCTTGACGATATAAAACATAACTCACTTCCATGACAAGGATAACCGCCGAAGGTTGCCGTTGGTCTTCATAACTAACAACTTAAAATTGATGAAAGACCTGACCGACAAGGTAGAAATGAAACTGGTCCTGGTAGCTCAGTTGGTAGAGCGTTGCACTGGAAATGCGAGGGTCTTGCATTGGTTCAAATCCTAGTCGAGACAAGAAAATTTTTCATCAATTTTAATTCAAAAGTCTGCATACCAAGAAAATCCAACACACTGTAAATTATATAACAGACGAAGAAACTTGTGAAAGTTGTAAAATCATTGACTTGATATTGATGGTTGAGCGTCCCATCCTGATACCTGCTGAAGTCGCTATATGTCGACGACGCATCCGTGGTTGAAGGATAATGGATTCCAAAACAGCCATTAATTGTGAATGTGTTTCCCTATACCTTCTAACTCACTCCCATACCACCGATAATCGCCGAAGGTTGCCGATGGTTTTCACAACTAACAACTTAAAATTGATGAGAGACTTGACCGACAAGGTAGAAATGAAACAGGTTTTGGTACCTCAGTTGGTAGAGCGTTGCACTGGAAATGCGAGGGTCCTGGGTTCAAATCCTAGTCGAGGCATGAAAATTTTCCATCAATTTTAATTGAAACGTCAACATGTCAAGAAAATCCAACACACTGTTGGTTATACATATTATTCTAAAAGCTCATGATTCATCTAGTTTATTTTTAATTTTTAAGAAAAATATTTTTCCACTAATTCCTTCTAGATGGTACTTACTTTAAAATCCTCTATTCATTTAAATGGCCGGCTGGTCTAAAAGAGAACCAAATAAAAAGAAACGAGTAAACCGCAAAAAGTCGAAAGGACGTGAGCGGCATTAAATAGAATAAAGACTATTTTCTAAAAGAGAAACTTAATTTTGGAGTGCTTTTGGCTATGTTTAGAATTTTGACCTTTTTGCTAGCAAAATAGTATGAGAGTTTGTTCCCACAATGCTTCTTAAACTGGAGCTATAATTGAAAAAAAAATCTCATTCTTTCTGATTTATTGTAGTAACCAATTCTTTTTGAAATCACAATAACAATTTTTGAAATCCTCCTCAAGTTCTCCAACAAAAGAATTATTCACTTTAGTTGAAAAACATCTTTCCAGTTGAGAATCCGCAAGCATAATTATTGTTTGGGAGACAAAAAGTGTAATTTTTGCATTTCCGGAGAAATGATTTACAACGTTTTCATTCACTAAGGATTTCTTCTCATTTATCTCTTTCAAACCTTCTTATGTTAATCTGGTTTTGTAAAAAAGATATTATAACTGGGTTTTGTAGGATTACGTTTTTGTGATTTTTTTTATTAAAATGATAATTTTATTAGATTATAAAAATACTAAATCTTAGAAGATTTATTACACAGATAATAAGCTCTACAATCAATAATTTCTACTCCGCCTAAAACATGTTATCCAAAAGATTTGTATGAATTCAGTTCAGATCGAATATACCTACGTAACTTTCAAAATGCCTTACGTCTGTAACAAAGTGTCCGTCATTATTTTCTTAGATATACGCCTGGAAATTGTTTCTGGACAACTTCCTCTCCAGCTCGAATCTGAGAGAGGCGTGACACGACTACCCAAGTTTAATGACCGGAAACGGACGCTGACTATTCCAAATCTTGATTCTAGATCTGGATCTTTGGTATTTTATGTAGAGCCTGGCAAAATGACAGTATTTTAAAAAAATATTATATAAGAAGGGCATAAAGCTCATGATCACACAGGAAATGCATTTTGTTATTATCTAAACATTTGTGCCATGTTATTCTGTTTTAATGTTTGTACATCTGGAGTACATAATGTAATTCCAAGGTAAAAGCATTAGCATCTTACACGTTTCCCATAATGTACTTTTACATTGAA